TATTCTAGCTTACGTGTTGTGTTGCCGGATGGGTTCGGACTGTTCGGAGTTGCTTCACAGCCGATGATATTTGATAACATTAGTACCTACGCGATATAAATCATATCTTAGTTACCATACTACTATAGTGTCTTGGGTTACTATAATTTAATAGTCATGACTCCATGAGTAACTTATTGTTTATTTTCGAGATAACGTCTACCCTTAAGGTGGATTCACACCTCGTCGTGTCGTGAAGTGTTTCGTACATTTTTTATATTTAATGCATAGGTAACAAAATGTTAGTCATACGTTACCTACGTCCACCTTAAGCGTACTTTTTCTCGGTAAGACAGTCACTAAGGTAGGAAGAAGTTCAAACTTTGAGCTTATAATATTTATATATTTTAATCATTGATCAATATTTTACGAACAATGGTATTATTATTATCAATGATTGTAATACTAATATAGGAAGAAGTAATTTATCTTTTGTACAGCTATTAATAGAGTATCGGAAAAAAGTTGTTAATACTATGAAAGTAATTACTAATAAAAAATAACAAATCTAAACATCAATATTATTATTGTTATGTACTCGTGATAATAATCTGTATCATCTGTGATAATATTATCACGTGAAATCGATTTCACTGTCTGAAATATAGATAGCGCTGCGTGTTTCGTTTTATCTCAATCACACGTTTCATCCGCCGTAGCATTATGATGTTATTTAATCGTTCATGCTCCTCGCCTTTTTTTTGTCCTTCAACTTTGCGTAGTAAACGTTTGAAACACTCGTGTTATTGAAAACTAAATTACATTTTTATTTTTCGGCTAAGATTTATTGCGCAACAAAGTGTCTGTAGTAAATCATAATATTATCTAATAATTACCTATCATTATACCTTTATCATCGCCTATTTGGCTATTTAAAATTTAAATGCATACAATTTATTCATCGTTCCGAACTGAACATTTCAAACAGCTACGTCGCGGCCAGTGCTTTTACAGTGTTACATATTTCGCAAACATTTTGATTTTCAACAAAAATACGTTTGTACTCTAATCAGTGTTCGGACATCATAATATAGGTTCGACAGAAGTAATATTAATAATAATAATAATAACAATATCAGATAGGTAGGTACCATAGTGTAAGAATATTATACGACGTACGTAGGATCGTAGTGTGTACCCTACTGCTGCCTGCTGGCTGATTATTATAAAACAGAATGTTACACACCTATTATCATTACCTATTGTTCTATGCTATTATTGAGTTATTGACATTGAAAGAGAGTCGATCGATATAATAATAATAATTATTATTATTCGAGATAATATTATTTGGTAGAGCGACGGGCGCGCGCACAGTTTCAACTTTCAAACGTATACCTTGGTGCATACCTATTAATTAATAGTGTTTTTATTTTTTTTACTCTTACTATTAATTAAGTCTCCGACATTTTGAAGTTGTAATTGTAGAGCCGCGAACATTTTTACCTGGGTCTATAGGTCAAAATCGCTCAAATTATTAGTAGCTAGTTTTGAGGGCGTTATAGTACTACCATATATTATGAATATTGTATACCAAATGAATATAATGAAATTCTATTTTGACGATAACTACTGATGACCTGAATACCAAAACATAATAATTTAAAAATATGAGTCTTTAACAGAATTATTGTACTCATGCACATTTTAAAACTGTAAAATATATAATTCAATAATATCTATTGTTTTGAATACAATTGTATTTTAAAATGTAGGTAACCGTTCTGCTGTATAGTTGTTATCAAGTGTACCACTTCATTGAAGAGTAATTCACTGTCATGTATCTATATGTTACATTTGATCAATCCAACGCGTGCGAAAAACTATTCTGGATGAAGATGGAATTTCGGTCTGTCAGCCTATATTTCTAAGTATAATTAATAAAGTATGTCCAATTATTGCTATTAAAGTAATTTGTTTTACTATCAGTAATATACTAATACACCTAGTACTTATAATAGGTTGAATTAATTTTTGCGAAAACATTGCATTTAAAAATGTTATTGTGTGTAAAATCTAATAAAATAGGTACTTTAAAAGTTTCAAGTTCTCCCGAACAATATTTTTAAATTACAACAAAATAATTAAAATCATTATTCTACATTAAATAATATCTAACCTGTGTTTATATATATTTTAGTTTTTAGTTGAGTATAAACAGAAACTTTGTTTTCAAATTTAAAAAGAATATTTTATGAATTTTTATCTACAAAATTATTGGAAAAAGTTTGAAATTTTTCGAAATATGTATTTTCATATGCTTTTAAAAAAAATTGTGTTATATGTTTCTAATAATATTTTTAAAAAGCTACGATATAATTTATTGATAATTTTTAAGAAATTCAATTTTAAAACTTTTTGACCAAGCGAAAATGATTATGTCGATATCTTTTGAAAATGTCATAATTTAAAGAAAATGCTTATCTAAATTTGGTAAAATTTTCAATTCAACTGTTATTTGTTTTTGATTTACATTACTAAATAATCAGTATCAATTTTATCAAAAACTGGTTTGGCATAAAAATTTCCGTTTTTCCTTTATTTAGTTTTTTGTTTTTACGATTATTAAAAAAAAAAAGTGGGGATTTTTAACTTTTGTACTTCCCCTTTCTCTACCATTGACGATGCTGACATGAAAAAAAAAGTCATTATCATCTTGTAAAATCTATGCAATCGTCGTTTCACTCAGAAACTAAGACAAATTGTACATAATAATATAAAATATTAATATTTTATCCAATATAGTATTTCGATTTCTTAATTCAAAAAATACTCGTCAACTTTTATTTAATTTGACGCTAAATATTATGTAATATGTGATTATATTTTATTAATAAAACCGTGAGTAAATGTTCGTACTTAAAATAATTATGATGAGTTCCTAGTTTAATTATATTTGATGTCTTATATAGTTATATAATTGAGCATATTATATTATTATGTGACCGTAGTTATCGATTGCACATGTCTATAATAATAATATATAAAAGTAATGTAGAATACTAGAACTTAAAATGTGACAATATGGGCATTAGTATTTTATACTTCTTTCTCGGAAGTTATCTTTCTTATATTTTAAGCTTTTTAAATCCGGTCTGTAAACATCTATCTACATAATATAATATGTCTGTAGGTCTTATAGTCGTTTATCAAAAATATTACGCATCGTTTGTACCTAACGAATGTTAGTGTTAACATATAATAGTATTATATTATAGAATATGGATCGTGTAGGTATTGTGTTATTACTTATTATTACATGCCATTATTCAGTCGGATGAAAATGGCTTCAGTTTTCTGCCTATATAGTAATGGCATATAATCAGGTCCGTATTTGTCTATAGGGTTTTGTCGCCAAATAATTGACATAGTGACATACCATACGGAAACGGTTTTCGGATTCATTTGACAACTGATTTAATCGTATTCCCCACCGAAGACGGTACATTTCTGCCGTCGGGACTTGTCGTTGGTTCGGTAAGCGGTGTTTTGGAGCCTAGGGGTGTTTAGGTATAGGTACCACTATCTCACACAATACTATGTCGGTTTACTACTTACTTCTTACTTTAGTTACTAGTCACTAGCGACGACCCGACCCGATACGATACGAGCTGCCGTGTTAAAGTTTTACTGATATTTCTCGTACTACAGCAGTCTAATTTCTAATTTTCATTTTGTAATAGTCATTATCACAACAGTTACAGTACCGGACCAACAAAGTACTATTACTTTAGATCCGTACATGCGTACGTTGACCGCGAAATAAAACAAGAAAAAAATTTAACTAGAAGCCGACAGGCCTGCGAACGGCCTAACCCTTCGGTGACAACGGTACGCGTTTTTCTAACGGTCTCGCGTACATAATGTATATAGTATAATATTTATTGTACAATGCCAACAACCCCTTTTATGATTTTTTTTTTTACACAGGTCTCCGTGAGTGCTTTTATAATATCTTATTATTATTATTATATTTATATAAACGATTACGCGCACGTCGCTCCCTCGCACGCCATGTACATTGTACAATACGCGCTTTGTATATTTATAGTGCGGCATATTTAAATTACCATATATTATATAGGTATAGGTAAGTACTAGGTACGCGAACATACGTCATAGTATTCCGCAAATACAAGCGCCAACAAAAATCGATATGATTTTCCGGAATAAAAAATTTAATCAACAATAACGCCGTTGGTTATTTCTCTTCCTCCTCTCTGACGCTCGTAACAGATTACATTCGTATTGCAGTTGCTGCTGCTGCGCATTATATATTTATATATAACTAAATTATTGGTTGAGTTTTTATATTTTAGGAAAAATTGTCTCCTACTAAACTCTCTAATGCGCCTGGGTTTATATAGTATGATGCATTGATTCCAATACTGATTCCAATAGGTGTATAATACTCGTATACTCCTGCAAATGTTACCTACTTCGTTAACAAAATTAATTGTTTGCATATATCAAATTAGAATATATTTAACAGGCCGTTGGTACTTAAGCAAGTAATTTACACGTTTCACGAAAAAAATAGGCAGCCCTGCAGAAATGTTATATAATAATAAATAATTATTTTCTTTTTATGAGATCTATAATTTCCAACGTTTTTCTTCCGTGCATATATTCGTTGTGACTTTTTTTTTAAACGCGTAAGGATATAACATGTAATTTTTTTTTTGATTTTTAACAGCTAAAGTTCTTGTTACTCCGATCCGAAAACATACACACACACACACACACACACACACATGCATATAAAGTGAGGAGACGAGTCCACCGCGACGATAGCGTATCCCCGCGGTCGGGACTTTTGCATTTTATAGATTAAACCGACTGCGTGCGTGCGCGTGGCCGAGGGTGGCGTCGCGCCCCTACCCGTACATTATTAGCTGCCGCAGCAGCAGCAGCCCTTCGCGGCGGTGCGCACAGCATCGAAGGCCCGGCAGAAGGACCACGTCTCTCGGAGGACCCTCACGTCGGCCGTGGACTGCACACTGTACGTATCATATCCGCTCGTCAGATACGCTAGTAAGTATAATCTAATATGCGTCAATAAAATACCAAGTCTATATTAAAATTATTATAAATCTCTTTTTCCGGAATTCCCGATTTAAAATGCATATGTCAATATGTCATATGTATACGTATTATTTCCATATTATTATTTTATGCATACCTGTGTAAATATTTTAATTGTATTTTATCAGTGATATTGCACGCTGCAGAAACCTCATTACGGACCCGAATATTATTCATGTGTTATTATTAAAAATAATGTTTTATGTTTTTCGACACGGTCGTACTTATGCCGTCTATGGCTTGTCCGAGTGTATACTACTTCGCGCATTCACGCTGCGTAGTGAACGCGGGTCCTGCAGTGTATACACTCTTCTAACTTTTGTAAGTGTAAGACGTGTTGAAGACGAGCTTTAAGTAGATATTTTCATTGGGTCCTTATTGCTATAAAAACATGTTTATCTCTTCTCGATTAAAGCATTATGGAGTATATTTACATAGCTTTATAGCCGTATAGGTAATACACTAATACCTCTATTTAAACTGTCTCATTCCATTTATCGTTTGTGGAGACCCATATGTGTCAGTATTTTACGCAATACGTTTAAACACATATGAACATATTTTGTTTTAAAATTTTCACATCGTATTTTTACAAAGCAGCCGCCACCGCCGCTGAGTTCCGGTCTCGTCCCCCACCGCGACGCGCCCTCTCCGCAGCTCTCGCCCTTTGCCCACGCCCCGGGCTCAGCAGCAGCATCAGCATGATCAATACACGTCGGCCGCCGCACCGAGATTCGCAGCCACCACCGCCGTCGCCGCCGCCGCCGCCACCCTGCTAGCTCCCCCTAATCGGGCGACCGCCCTTCGGCCAAGGTCAGAGGTACGTTCGCTTTACATCCCTCGTCGCGTCCGGACGCCACCAACTCGCTGATTCGTTTCCGGCGGGCGACCGAACGATCGCAAACTTGTCGCAATACAACATTTATACAATCAGGCTTACGTACGAAGATCACATTTTTGTTTTTTTTGCCGACTATACTCTTGTACTGCGTATAAGCTCACACATTATTACTATTACTATTACTTTTATTATTATTCTCGTTTTTCCCGTCGTTTACAGCTCACTCGCCGCCGCCCGCCGTGGTCCATCTGCACGTCAACGGTCACATCAGCAATGTAACGCATCCGTGATCTACCCTGTAGATCCGGGCTTTTGTAGAATAATCGATACGTTCAGAAGCTCGTCTCTACAGGTATCTTACGGATGGAAGTTTACCCCGACCAGCGGCGGCAGCACATTGGACGGACGGAAGACACGACTTTAAGTTCTACAGTTTATTACGAGTACCCAACAGTACAATATATTATTATTATTAGTTGATTCAAGAACGCACTTTGAGCGATAACATTCACCGCATTCCATGACGACGTCAAAGGTAGATATGAAGGTTTTGAAACGTATAGTTCAGCTGTATCGGTGTCTCCTCTTCGCTCGAAGTATGTACATAGGTATGGTAGTTATTCTTTCGAAATTTTAATACTTAATAATATTATACTTTTTTCGGAATAACGTTGTGTCTAATATCCGTGCGATTTCTTCTATTTAGAATAAAATATAGTGTTAATACCTCATCCAAACTCACTAGTTTAATCGGTTCTTAATTCTATATTGCAATTTGCAGCTTTAAACATATTAAATAATTAAATATATACATTTTATATTATATTACTTACAAGTTATAAATCTGTTACACCATAAATTATTTTATACTCGGTTATTAACTTTTAACTTAAAAAATATCTTTCGTAAATTAACACTGTGGTCTTCGTTACTTATTATGTTTTTATTGTTATACAGTTATTCCTATAGTAATATAAGGACTATAAAGATATACTTGATTATTCAGATTAGAGTTCAATGTTGAATATTATTGTTACAGAAATGGCGAAATCATCTTATAATTCGTAAACTATAATAAGGTGTTTATATATGTATAAAATATATTACAATAAACTATGTTTTTTTTTTTAAATATATATATTAAATTATCTACAGAAAATGTTCATATTTTTTTGTTTTTATTTATCATATCATATACATTTAGGCCAAAATCTGTAATATTGGAGTACAGAATAAGTTTTCTATCATACAAATCAGTAAATACTGAGTTGAATATTGTTTGTTATCTTATAATCCTTAATATACTAAATAGTTCCAAAACTATTTTTAGAGTACAAACTGACATTTTTAATTTTTGTATAATACCTATATTTGTTTCTTTTATTTAATTTTCAAGTGTATTTTGTTTTAACTTTTAGTGTAATAATCCACTTAACTGTTATTGCATACATAAATAATTATTTATTTGTATCAGCAACAATAATTTTATACCGAAATATTATTTCTTGAAAATTATCAATAACAAAAGTTAGAAATATAAATAAAACACTTGAGTTCTTAACAAATTAAAGTATTTTATTTTTAATTGTTTTCTCTATTAATATTCAATAATTATAAAAATAGTTAAAATTTAAATAATCTAAAAACTATAATTTGTATACAGCACATCCCATACTATTCCATACATCCATACATAAAGTACCTACCCATTCTTAACATATTCTAATAAAATTTGTATTCGATACTTATAAGTTACCTAGGTAATAAATTTAGGTGAATTTGAGTACCTACAAATCATTATAACTAAAACCAAAATAAAATTAAACAGATAATTAATAATAATAATGCTTTGAGGGTCCGCATTTGTATGCAATTACATATTTGTAATGACTAATGAGTAATGAGTATATGCAGTTCGATGGGAGTAAGAAATTGAACGATTTAGGTAGCAGAGAATGCATAGAAAAAAGTTTATTTTGCACATAAATGCATCATATTTTAGGGATGAGAGCATATTTGAAGAATTTGGCATAATCAAGCATATTTTGTATATAATAATTCTTTAAAACAATTATTTTATATATTTTTCACCATACAAACTAGATTTATGAGTTCATTTCATGAGATAGTGTAAGGAAATAAATTTTTAAGTGAATATTAAGTATTAATTGATTTCATTCTTTTATAAAATGCGTGAGGTATTATTTATTAAAGTATTATTGGTGGTGAGTTATTTTGTTGTGGTATCCACATAACGTCTAATAAGTAATAAGTAATACATAATTGCTAATAATCTACATACAAATAAAGAGTTCATATTTTTACACTAGGTACGCAGTTTAATATTTACGATTGATTACTTTTTATTAAACAATGCGTTAACATATAAGTAGGTATGTTAAGTGTGTTATATTTTGCTAAGTAAACCTAATATTTTAAATAAACTTGTTTAAAATAATCCAAATAGACTTAATTCATTTGGGTGTTAAGCCTCTGGGATTTAACTACAACTTCATGATGAAAAGTTATCCATTTTACAATGTTCGTCATAATTTGACAGAAACAGAACATTAGTTGAGTTTGTTATTGCATTAAAATACATTAAAATTATCCCAGCAGCTGTATTAAATTAATAAAAAACATTAAAAATGTATACGAATCACAATACAAAAAACACTTTAAAAAAAACAACTTAAATATGGGCAATATAAATAATTTAATCTCAAATATTATAAAACAAGAAAAATTGTTAGATACAAATAGATTCAATGTTCAATAAGCATGTAATTTTTTCACATGGTCTAAATTGTTATAAAATAACCTTGGTGTATAATTGCATATGAACTATAAATTATAATTATATTATATCACATAAGTACTATTATCATATATATATATTTATATAAGTAGTCCTAATATTATAAACGTAAATATGTCAATATTAAAAAAGCCGCCCTGTGAAGAGCTTAACACCCCTACCCTTAAATATGTCTTCACCTGCATAAGAATTTATAATATAACGATTAACGAGTAAATTTAAGGAGTTTATTATCACAAAAATATAAGTGTATCAAATTCTTGAATAATTTATGAATATCATTTTAGTTCATTTACAATATACGTGGTGCATTTCTAACTTTCTGAGCATTATAACTTATTATTATCTTATTATATAATATTATATACTTAAAAAGTTAACTATCATGGTAAGAAACATTTCATATAAAAATAGTGTTTTTTTTGTTTTTATTGATACCCAAACTTATTAAGTATATATTAATCCAATAACAAAATATTTGAAAAAAGTGGATAAACTATATTATACTTTTAATTTGTACAAAATTACATTCATGCAGTTTTAACTCATAAAAGTATAAGCGGTAGTAGTGGACAAACAATTTTTCTTCCACTCAAAATAATTTTATATGTTTGAAGTCCTTCCTAAATATTGTATGTCCTCTGCATTGAAATAAAAATTTAAAACAAGTACAGAACAAAAAAACAATCAACATTAATAAATTTGTATTAATTATATAATTTGTTAATAGTATTATTGAGTGCTGATTAAATTATATTATTGCAGTAATATTTGTCCTTTGACGACGTTAAATTATTGTCTGAATTGTCTTATTTGTCAAAATATATTATCAACTAGATAAATAAATACTATTTTAATTTAACAAAATGTAACATGGTAAATATATCTTATGTCTGATTTTATAATGCACGTACTACCTAGTATGTCTATATATAATTTGAATGTATACGAAAAACAATTAGTGATAAAAAAAAATTACGTTTCCTGATTTGAAAAAACTTTACCAAGATATATTGTGGATACAGTCACAATTAAAAAATATTAAAATTATCAAATATCAATATTTAGATTGTTCGAACTCCAATGATACATAGTTCAAGGTTTAATAATATTCTGTAACACAGGGTTTTGGCAATATTTTATTTGATCCGGTACAAATTACAATGTATTAAATAAATACTATAAACCATATAGGTACATTAATTATCGAATGAACAAATATGGCTCTATTACCAGCTTATAAGATTAATAACTAATAAGGCTCGGTCAGTCGTTGTTGGAGCTCACAAGTGCCAAGTCAAACATTTTGTCAAAACGGCAATTATTCTTCTTGCATCAGCTTATAATTCGTTTCATATATTATTGCTTACATAGGTTATATTTCACGGTAATTAGCGTGGCTTCTTATGATATAATAACGCAGAATTTCAGTACTTATTTATTTGTTTGTGGTCAAATTAATTAGTCTTCAAACATACCTGCAGAACAAGAGGTAAATTGTTTAATATAATGTAATTTTAAAACAAAAAAAATAATAATAAATTGTACCTCCTGACTTCCTGGCTGCTTATTAGTTCTTAAGTGTCTGTATCAAATGTTCATCCAGTCCCCCGTATGGCTGTATAAATCGAGATTTTACCAGTTTACAGCTGTTTTCTGAGTAATTTATTAGCAAATTGGTTCGAAAGAAAAATGTTCAGTATTTTTTAAAATAATAGGAAAAAACTAAAAAAAAAATTGAGGAAAAATGAAAATCTTTACGCAACAAATTTTTGACAAAACTGATTAAGTTATTTAATGTAATTCAGACTAATTGTACGCTATATTTAATATTTGTATCATATAACTATTTAAGTTTTACACCATTCTATGATAAGTTAGTATTGACTATTAAATTATTTAAGTTATAACCTATAAGTTAGTAAAAATATTGTATATTTGTATGATATAATATTATAATAATTAATAATAAAATATACCCTATGATATAGTTAGTTAGTTCAAACTTCAAATTAAACCTATCGTATTCAGTAGCTGAATTTGTCAATGAGGGGGGGCGGTGTTATAATTACTAATACATTTAAATTAATTGATTGTGATGATAGTACCAAAGACACACATATAAAGGGATTTATAGGACAATTGGGGAATATAACCCCTAAACCCCTAAACCACCCCCTGGGCACGCCACTGATAGTATTATTAAAATTAAACCACATTAAGTATAGTATAATTAATAATATATCTATTATAAAATACTGTTGTGAATCCCTGCATATTATATTTTCATATAATATTATTAAGAGTATAAGAATAGTGTGTTGGTCGACGACTCATCGACAAGAATCCGCTGACAATACCCTTAGAAATTGATTCTGACACTTCATCTACAGTCTCCTCATAGTATCGTTTTTCATATACAATTATTTATCTTTGAATTCAAATTTAACACATCTATTAAAGTGGCCTACTCAACGAGGTACATTCAAAATATAATAAACAGCAGAGTAAGTTCTCTGGTTTTATTTTTTGTGTTTAATTAATGACAACTATCATAGAATAGGTATGTTGCATTAAAAAAACAACTCATTTATGTTTAGATTCTTCTTAGCAAAGATAAATGGTAAAACTGTACAGTTTAAATACATTTTACCTTCAATTATTTTAAATATGGAATGATTTCTTTCGACTCTTTGTTTAGGGGGAGTACCTGAATAAAGCTGTTGAG